CACTATTCGTCATTTGGTGATAAATGAATCCGAGACATTGAATGTTGAACTTTGAAGTACTCCGTCCGTTACTGTGTCGGGTGTCACGTTTTCGATTCTACGATGAATGTGGAATTAGGCGAGTTTAAGTTAGTTAAATGTACAGTGAAGTTAATAGACTGAAATAGTGACATGAAGAAAGAAATGGTCCAGCGGGGAAGCCTGCTGGAGTGATGCAGCATTGTGGGGCAGCATGGAAATCGGCCGCTGCCGGTCACCTCAGCTGGGCCAGGTCTCATACACATACACATCACTAAACACTACTTTCCATGCACCTTACACTCACCTACGGCCTGACCGAGCCTTGGGGCGGTCTTACATTCGGATACAGGTACGTACTATATTTTTCTAGCCTTCTTCCTTCAGTTTAGTATGATAGGACATTCTTCCATATGGCCATTTGGGCCCGACCCGCGTCTGCCCGTCTAGCAGGTTGCTATGGGCCCCAGCCAAGGCGAACTTTGCAGGGGCAGCTGCGGGCCGTAACAATTTATTTTTATTGTACTGACGCCCTCTGTTATCCTGTAGCGTCACTATTTATTTAAAGTTAGTGATTGACGACGTTTATCGATTGGGGTTATCGATAAAAATAATATACAGGATGCCGATTTAATCATTTACAATATTTAAGGAGGTAAAACAGTCAAAGATACTGTACCCATACCAACAAAAATGAGTAGCATATACCAACTATGCTAAGTAGCCTACTATATGTGGAAGGGTGGGAAAAATTTTTTAGGCATGATGATGAGATTTTCTGTGTTGCTTATGAACATGCTGAGGATACTTGCTGTGTTGATGTTTAGCAATACAGTAAGTCTTCTCTTTTACATACCGGGCTTCATTGTCTGGTGGTATTCAAGGACAAAACCATTATAGATCCTGGCTTAAAGTAATAGGAGAGTGCTATAGGCTTGTTACATTTAAAAAAAATGTACTGTTAAAGATATTAGATTCAAGAAGTTGTAGGTTAAGTCTGAGTTAGAAAATAAGGTAAAAACTTAAAATAAGAATTTTTATTAATGTGGGTAGTGTCTTTTAAGTAGTGCAGCTGATGAAATTGACAAAATAATATAAAAGGAGAAGAAGACGTCTCCATACATTCTTGGGCCCAAGTGTTAACAAGATGAAAGTACCATTTGAAAGCGTATATACGAGTATAAACTATTAATAGCTGAAAAGATTTGTCAATCTAGAAGCTGAGTTATTGTAGAATAAGTAAAATAGAGATTATCTATTACCTACACTGTAACAGGTGATTTTTCACTGTTATTACATTGCAACAGGTTATTTTTCACTATAATTACTTAAAGATATAAAAGCAGGATCAGTATAAAATCACCAAAAAATCTGCGGTTAGTAATGAAATGAAATAGTGAAACGATTAACGAAAGATAAAAACACGACTCTTGGTGACCGGTGTTGACTCATCAGTGAGTATCCAACCGTACACCGTACCGGGTATGATGTACCGCAAAGCCTCTCTAGTACATTAGTACATAATATCGCAATGGTGCACAGTGAGAATTTAATAAATAAATTAAAATGATACAAGTTGTTAGGAGTATTAGTTATGAGTTCGATTTACAACAATTTAAACATTTTTCTAAATAAATACCGTCGAAGGTACTGGAATAATTTCATTTCTTATAATAATACTAGCCTATATTAGCCTACTGTAGCGCAAAGTAGTCTTCACATACAGGGAAGTAACGAGCATTAATCACAACACTTGCTTAGAGCATGTTCGTGATTTCAGATTATAATGTTCAGTGTTCCTCACTATGCTTTATTTCACCGATTCAGTAATGTCTCAAGTTGTTGAGCATAAAACTCTTTGTAGAATATTGATACATAATATACCAGCGTATTTATAATATGAATGTATGAATGTAAATTCATAAAATGATTTATCGTGAAACGGCTTTTAAGTTCAGTGTTTTCCTAAATATTTTATATTTGAAGTGTATTTGTGTAAAAGAAACGAATTTAAAAACATAGGGGCGCTCCCTTATTAAATTTGGCGTTTCTTGATGTGTCTTCAACGCCGATCGACCAACCATATGCCTTTATTATAGCTTCTAATGGACCGAGTGGCGTCATCCAAGATGCCACCAAGGCGGCAACCAAAGTGACTGCTGTTTGAATTGATTCTTAGTTATTGGAAATTAATATTTCATATCATGTCACTAAAGAGGCATAAAAAAATTAAAGTGATTTTTTCGTGTGATGGAAGTCATGATAAATATATTTATACAATGAAACAATCATTTTATTCCCTATTATTATATTCTAAAGCATGTCAAACTTAGTAACCTTCAACAACATTATCGATACTTTGGTATCGAAAGGCTAACATTCCTAAAACGATCTTATATTTTAAGTGTCACCTACTGGGGAATAGCTAAAATGTTGTCTTAATAAATGATAGCGTAGTTTTGCTATTTTTAGCTAGAGGGCGTTACACACGCACGAGCTTGAGCTTGAGCTTAAAGTTTTTGTATATAAATTTTCCCAATGCCCGCTCTATAGTATATATATATATATTTTAAATCTCTTTGCTGTTATGTTTTGTTGTGTGATAGGAATTTACACATTGGCACCTTGAACACTATTTTGGGTACGACTTTCCATTGACTCCCGTCGAGTTGGGGGTTGATACGTATTTTTACAGAAAAATTACACTATTATAAGCACACACACAAAGTTACAAAATGCGGAAGCGCGTAATTTTTGAGAAAAAAGTTATTGAAAATCAATTATTCTTGCATTGTTTATGTCTAATCCTACAATAACTGTTATTGTCAGTAGGGATGTCAATGTTTTCCGAAAAAGATCGATTTTTTAAAAAGATTCGAATTATAAGCTGATGTATCGATTCCCAAAAAATCGATTTCTAAAATATCTATATTTTTTCATGTTTGCATTTATAATGTAAATATAAATCCATTATATGAGAAAAAAATCCCCTTTATCATAAAATATAGGGGGACTGATTCAGAAGGATTTCTGTATCTATTTTGAGACTGCTACGTCTCCGGCGCTGCGTAAAGAGCAGCCTCTACCGCCTTTGCGTAACAAATCGCAGACATCCTCCTCGCCTCCGCAGCTTTGGCGACCAGCCTCAGCCGCTCCGGCTCGTCTGATGCCTACGATTTGTTACAGCAGGCGGAGGCTGCTCCCCCTACGCGCCTCCGGCTCTTTAAAACCACTCTAGGGGTAGGACAGACTCGTATCAGGTGGAGTCGGGGTCAATCAATTCGGTTCTTTGATATAAGTTGAACCTAACCTATTTTATTTGTTATCTGCCCTAATTGGTACTGTTAAAATAAAACCAATTTCAATAAGAGATCATTTATTAAGGTATCTTTCTGGTTTTTCATAAAATGGAATTATATTTACATTATAAATGCAAACATAAAAAAATATAGATAATTAATATAAAATATGATATTTAAATCGATACAAATCAGCTTACGATTTGTATCGATTAAAATATCAACCTTTTTCGGAAAGAATCGACATCCCTACTGACGACAATGACATTACAAAATGGCGTCAGTTTTATGGTAGGATTAGATATAAACAATGCAAGAATAATTGATTTTCAATAAATTTTTTCTCAAAAATTACGCGTTTCCGCATGTTGTAACTTTGTGTGTGTGATTATAATAGTGTAACTTTTCTGTAAAAATACGTATCAACCCCCAACTCGACGGGAGTCAATGGAAAGCTAAGTCCCATTTTGGCTTATCCAGTGTCGGAGGAGGCTAAAATGCTGGTCAAGCTAGCAGACTTGATTCTGTGTGTGATGTCTAGGTGTTGGCTGTTTATAGTTCCATATATTCCTTAAGTGTGATTATTTATAATCGCACGTGTTCCTTGCACATATCTATTGTTACTACAATACGTTTTATGTTAAATTTTGTATTCGATTGTAGTGATTAAGTAATTGTAGTCGGAAGGGGCGATGTGGTTGCTCAGCGACAAAGTCCTTTATAATAATAGATTTAAAAAAAAGTTAAGACAAATCGTTTGACGTAATAATCATCAAAGTTGGTGCACGCGTTTGGTATCTAGAGTGCCACAAGGGAACATACGTACATACGTAATATATAGTCTATATAAACACATTACCCTCCGCAGTCGGGTAAAAAAAAACACTAATTATAATTGGTGTTTACAAATTATAAAATGGTTGTTGGGATTACAATATCTAAACGTTTAATGTGTATTAAGGAAATTAGAAGTCAATACGATGGAGAACGTTCACTAGATATCGTAAAACATGCATGGGTCTCCCTGCGTTTGTTAAAAAGAGGGTGGTTTTGAATGTATTACAAAAACACCATACAACAACCGTGTAGTGGAGTTGTAAGAATATCCACTACCCCATATTATTCCATGGGTGTCGTAGGAGGTGACAGAGATGAGAGAGTGAAAATGCACACGTGGTAGAGCCATGCTGCAGCTATATTAGTAGTATAGTTGTAGCACGAATTTGTCGGCTCGACCAGGGAAGGACCACGCCCTCACAGAATACCAGCGTAAAATAGCAGCTTGACACTGCTATGTTGCGTATGGTGAGTGTAGAGAACCGGAGACCCTTTTTACTGGAAAAGAGACATCTTAGTCCTCACGGGTGACAACGCATCTGCATTTTGATTCTTTATTGAGGATAGATGTAGATGTCTATGGGTCGCAGCAGCCACTTACCATCAGGTGGACTGTGTGCTCGTTTGTCACCCTATTCTATAACAAAAAATTAGAAGATGGGCTGAAGTTTCTTCCAGACCAGAGAACAAAAACTGCTGTTGCCAACCCGCCCGCCAAGCGTTGCAACTATGGACAATATCCCCATTATTAAGAAATCTATGGGGAGGATTTTGTGCAGTAGTGAACTTTGATAGGATGTATTTATAGTTATGAATATATGATTTAATGTTTTCTACGATACTTACTCCAAACATGTACACTCCATCCGTGATGTTTTTCCTCTTCACTGTGACCAGCTTCTTGCATGTGTCCCTCCGATCCTTCAGCCTCTGGTAATGTTCTCCATCGTTTGAGTAGTTCCTTGGTTTTATCTTTAGTTTTGTCACAGGCTTGCTTCCAATTAGTGAAATATTTTCGAGATACTTTTGGACTTGACAAGGATATCGTTTTTGAATCCTGCCTGTAAATAAGTATTAAAATTATAGTAAAAAGTAAAACAATACCCCATATACGATGCAAGCAACGTCACGGCAACACATCTGCCATGAACCACGATCATAATTTTTACGCGCCACATTTAATTTTACATTATTTATAGCACCAGTGTCATTATACGATAAACTACGACTGCGTGTACTCGATATGAATATACATAAAACATTTTATATTATCAATCGACTTCAAAAATGAAGGTTTTACAATTGGTTAGGTTTACAATTGGTCGGAAACTTTTTTTTATGTATGTGGATAGGTTTACAATTGGTGGGAATCTTTTTTTTATGTATGGTCACTGATTACTCGAAGACGCCTCAACCGATTTGGAAAATACTTTTTCGAGCAATGCTTCGATCGACACAACGTGACGGCAAACCATAAGCGCGCGGGTTGTTTACAGGTATTTCATGTGCTCTGAGAGGAGAGTCCAACTTCGCTGCACATTTACCTCAAATAGACGGAGTGTTCAGTTTCTACACTAATGCTTTTCGACACTAATCAAACTCATATCGCTTGCGTACAATTCAGGTATGGACTTTTGTATGCTGTGTGATTAGAATGCTTTTAAAGAATTGGGGACAAACACAGTTACAGTGGGTTAAGTGGTTGGTGTTAAGTACTACTTAAATTTAATTACCTTTTCTATTAATGAATCTGTAACATAGGCATATTTTGTACACTTGCGTGTTTTTAAGTACGCTACGGACACACAACTTGGTTGAGCTACTCGTAACTTTGCACCTCACTGCTATGCGTAAACCCTCCGTTTCCCTACTCTCGATCCCCTATTCATACAGACGTGTCAGTACTTAGTACCATCAGCACGATTTGCGTCTTTGTTACCGATACGCATAATTTTAGTCTCCTATTTCTTTAGTTTTTGGATTATTTTTATTGTTACGTCATCCGCACTAAGCGCAAACTTAGCTCAACCGTGTTGTAACTCGATTTAGTAATTATAGTCTTGAATTACCTGTATTTCTTCTTAGTACACACAGCTAACAACAATTTTCGTGAGTATACGATTTTTCTCATACATAAATGTAAAACTATCATCTACAAAGACTACATCTACTATTTTTGAACACTTGTCTGTGATATTTTTTACAATTTCAAACGATAATTACAACAAGGATTTTCAACTATGTTAAAATAATTTATTCCGGTAGTGTAATAAAAGTATTTTTAACTACCGCCAACATTTTTATCGAATTATTAAAACTCCTTTTATTTAATCATGTTTATTTTTACATGTTAGTTTATATCATTCATGGCAGTCTATTAAAAGTCCTCTGCCGAATATAGTCCTCCACCATAGATTACCAATATGGGATATTAACATAACAATGCTTTCAATAAGATTAATTAAGTAATTTGTATAATCTATAATGAATAAAAAAATTCTAACAAATGCTTCAAATCATTTTAATAATATTATTCTGCGACCCAAAAACTATGATATGTTAATTAAAAAACGCCGTCAAAGCTTGAATAAAAAAAAAAAAGCTGTAGTGGCTTTCAATGAAAACAGCCGCATTGCCTGCATTGTAAGACTGGGAATACGCTCTTTGAATAATAAAGTTTAATTAATTTGCAACGGATCATAAAACTCATTATGAATAGCTAGAAATTCAGAGGTAATTTTAAATTAGTTTGAATGTTATATAATTCAACTAATACGGTTTCTGAAAGTAATAAAGATCAAAAGTCAATTGCTAAGCATAGGTCTCCCCCTTAGATTGCTTCATAGGGGATATCTATCATAGTTGCCACAGCAGGCAGGTTGGCAAGAGTAGCTTTTTTATAAAAAATATTATTAGTTGTTAATAGGTTTAGAGTTTTAGGTTTAGGTTAGGGGCAGCAGCATCTCCTGTTATAGTATCTTTTAGTCACCACGGAGAGTAAGTGTTGTGTGGTCACTACGTCGTCTTCATCATCATTACAGCCTTTCATAAGTCCACTGCTGAACATAGGCCTCCCCCAATGAATGCCACAAAGCACGGTCCTGAGCCACCTGCATCCATCGACTTCTTGCATATCTTACCAGGTCGTCACACAATCTAGTGGGAGGACGCCCTACACTTCGTCTGCCGGTACGAGGTCGCCACTCGAGAACCTTTTTTCCCCATCGGTTTTCGGTTCTTCGAGCTATATGGCCGGCCCACTGCCACTTTAGCTTACTAATCTGTTGGGCTATGTCCGTTACTCTAGTTCTACTGCGGATATCCTCATTTCTAAGCTTATCACGCAGAGAAACCCCGAGCATAGCCCTCTCCATAGCTCGCCGAGCGATCTTGAGCTTCCTCATACGGCCAGCAATGAAGGACCAAATCTCAGATCCGTAAGTCATCACTGGCAACGCTACGTACTCACTACGTACGTAGACCGAAATATATAGCATTGATTAAGCAATTACTGGTTACCTAAAGGCTTATAATTATGTAATAATTTTCGAAAAAATACCTGCATAATTATGCTTTAATCAAAGGAAATATAAACGTTACGTTTTCATTTTCTTTTTCTTTATTACATATTTTTTATTTTATTAAACGACACGCGCCATGTTGATCTATACGATGATGATCACTGTTACGGCCCCCAAATGCCCCGACAAAAGTCGACTGGACCAGGGCCGATGAGTGATCCCTTCGACGAGCAACAGAGGGTTCGTGCCCAAATGGCCTATGGATGATTATTATCTAGTAGCTGATAAGCAAGCACAAACTTACCGAGTTCCGGAGGTAGTGTCGACCACACGGCGCGGTCAGGTGGTAAGTAAGGTGTATGTAAGTAGTGTGCGAGAGTGTGTAGATGTAACCTGACGTCACCGATAGGATCCGAGAGCAGACCCACAGGCGCTGCTTTTCTCCACAATGTTCGATCCCTCCAGTGGGCGTTCACCAATGGAGATTTTCTGCTTTTATTTTACTATACTAGTTTATCAACTTTATTGTACATTTAATTAACTTCAAATTTAACTAAATCAACGTTAATCGAACTTAAAACAAGTAACACACTGCATAACTTAAGAACGGCCGGTCGAAGTTCAATGTCCCATGTTCACTTAGCACAAAATTATAATCGAGCAGAAACGCGATCTCCTCTCGAGTCACAAATTTTTTGTGTTTCACCCGACAAAGCCAATGTCTTATTACGATATCAAAATGTCACACAAACAACTCGTTGATGCAAATTAATGGCAATAGAAGTTAATTTAATCACTCAAAAACTCCCGAGATGCCTCATTGTCACGTAAAACGAACGAAAAGACAACTCAATTAGAGGCAGTCGTCACGCGACCAAACTATACGAGAGTAACTTCCAGACTCTAGGGCGCGGCCGGCCGCTGCAAACCCCGGGCCCGCGGCCCAAACCGTCAAACCGGTTCTTCGCCCACACGTCAGGCGACCGAGATCGAGCGTAATGAACGCAAGTTTTTAAAATGTTAATATTTAGCCTAAACAATGACTATTAAAAAAAAACCTCAGTTAAATCCTCGGTGTTCAAAACACTATTTTTTATACAATGGTAGTGACCAACACACTTACAGTCCACGAGATGGTAAGTACATAGTGTAGCCTGCACTCCTACAACCAATTTGAAACAAAAAACAAAGAAGTCTACAAATACCTTGTCACCTCTGAGGACTAAGATGGAATGCCTCACAACCTGTAATTATATTTGCTTTCTTTGGCCTACTGGAACACAGCAATGAACGCAATGCTGCTTGGTGGTAGAAATAGGTAATAGGGTAGAGTATTATTATTCTTATTATTATTTTAACTTGGCAACACTTATTAAATGCTCATTAAATACAAATCTATGAAGTGTAGAGTAGAAGGAGGACCATCTATGTGTATGAAAAGTGTCCCTAAAAACACGTCCAATAAGGGTGGCGCTGGCATAGGATAAATTTAAAAAAGTGACAAAATTAATTAGAATAAGATGGAGAAATAAACAGGTACCGACTAATCCGCTTGGTTTTGTACTACGTAAATAGTTGAGGTTTTGTATACTGGCATTTTACTAACTACTCTAGCCATGAATTTTTTTAAATATTTGAATTCAGCTTACTTCACTCCGTCTACAACATCTATTTTCATATCGTAGTTTTTCAGATGCCAGCGCTATTGTGGTAGATTTTGGAACCTCTAATTTCAGTATATAGTGGGACACTTTTTCAACTTTCGCACCTTATAAGATGGTTCTCCTTCTACTCTACACTCCATATACAAATCACACTATTTTAACCTAACTTGTCTAATTTTTGTTGTATTCCATTATTATATTTATTTCGTAAAGCCAAGTTTTCATATAGTTACTAAAACAATACAACACAGCTAATTCAAATAATGTGTATAAAAATTGTAATAATAAATCCGTTCTACCACGGGCATTCTTTAATTTTTTATTAGATTTCATCAACATAAGTTATGTATTGTTATCCCGTAGGGAAATCCTGTTATTAAAACGGCCAGACAAATGAACGTACGTTTTCCTAAGCGTTAGCTTCTTTCACCTACCTCAATAATAGTTTATGATGTTATTGAGGTAGGTGATAGAAGATATTCAAGTAATGACCTATTCTCGTTGGACAAATCGTGCTCACACGTGCCTTTCTCTGCATCAACTCATCTCATTACTAGAGTGCGAAAAATGGATTTATGTTCATATGCTGCTTGCTCAGTCATAAAATACAGTAAAATATTCACTCGGATTCGGGTCTTCAGTAGTACAACTTGTAGTTCTTCTCTTCAGAAATTTTATTTGTGTTAAAATTGTTGCTCTGGTCTTTCATTCTACACGGAATTTTGTTTCGAGAATGATATTAGTGCAGCGTTACCTATCCATTACTGGTACATGCTATTACTGACAATCCATCCTAGTTAATGATGCTTTCTGGTAATGTAAAACATTTAGTACAATAAAATCTGCTACACTATTTGAGCTGTAAACTTTATTATT